TCCTCTACTCAACTTGACTCTCATTCTATGAATACTTAGTAACTAACTGTAACTAACTGTCCAACCGTCCTAACTCGTAAAGTTGCATTGTGGGATGTATCGTGTTACCTTGAGATTATACGCTCTCTTGCGTAATCATGCGAAATGGAGTGCGCCCGCAGCGACTGAGTAAATACAATTCGGGCAGCAATCACCACTGTGATTGCTCATATAGCCAAGGGAATACTTTCATATACTTTTAAGTGTATCTCAGACTGGCGACAACAGCATGGATATTCTCTCTAAAGAAGTGCCTACTTGTCAACTTCTATAATATCATTTTCACTGTACTCATTTAACGTACATTTGCATATTAGTTTGCCCCAGACGCGTTAGATCGATTCAGTATTACCCTAAATTATTTAAATACTAGTAATAAAACATAGAAAACATTTCATGTGTTATAAACAAACGATGGTATATCTGTCTCTCGGTCCCAACCCTCAGTGGGTCGTATGTGTATGTCTAGTAAGTATGCATAGCTCTCAATCACGTGTGTTCAAATAGGGAGGAACGGATGCGTCGATCGTATAATCCGTAAACCTGTAGTCTGAATATTGAAATTTACTGTATGTGGATAGATTGATAGAATTGGACGTATTATAGCCCCATACATTACATTACATTACATTACATTACATTACATTACATTACATATCCTGTTTAAAATAGATCTTATTCGTAAATGGCCATCGAGATCTCGTTGAGTTCGAGAAATCCATGAGATATGTGGTTAACCTCAAGTGTTCTATTTTCTCCCGTCACCGCGCCTGTTGTTCCAATTGCCATGGTTACCTAGATCTGTACAGTAGACGCGATTATGGTAGAGGATGAAACAGGGCCTTTTGGAGAAAAGAAAATTCTCGTGAAACTCCCTCACTCCGAAAGATATCCCGGCGGCCATTGCGAAAAGGATCTATTAAAGACTCATTTTCATAGCTGAGAATTACCGAGCAGTTGGAAATTCTTTGCGATTTAGTTTTCAGCATTTTTGGTCAATATCACACAATTGGTCGCTTCGCATCGAAAGCCTAGGCCAAAAAGCAACTAATATCGATACCCGTCCAAATATTTCAGGTTTCGATCCAAATAGCTCGCCAACGCCGTTCTTTAATTGTCTTTTTTGACCAAAGCCTAAAATGTTGCAAACATTTTAACATAAAGACGAAATACTTTTTTGGTATCTGTGTTTCTTGTACCACATGATGTACAGGTTAGACCCGGATGGGATTTACTATTATGATTTGTTATCGTGTATGTTGCTCTTGTTTTTGAAGCCAGAGAAGTATTGGTCGTACGCACGACCGTATAACAATATTTATATCTTCGTTTTCCCATACTGGTTGTGTTTTGCCTCATTACATCGCCTAGTACAGTTAGGTGATGTTGGCAACTATCGAGGAGGGAAGTGGTATAAATCCGGGGTAAACTGTATGCCCAGTGTCATGTCTGAAATATGCTTCAATGAATCAAAACGTAATCAAAAATGATTAATGGCGATATTTAAATCAACATCATTTTAAAATCTAGTTAATTCTATTTAGTATACTGGCGGCGGCTCTATTCACTTCACACTACTGGTTATGGGGGAGTTATTACTACTATATGATTTTGCATACATGAGGTAGAAATAAAATATACATAAATTCTTTACATTCTGTGTTTCAGTTAATTTTTTTTATTACTCAAAATATAATCCGATAAACGAAACGGATCATTTAGGGATTCTGGTACATCTTTTGGTTGACCCAGTTAACGTAATTGCTGACTTTGGTGTAGACGCCGGGACTCATCTGGTCAGCGCAACCGTATCCCCAGCTCGTCAGTCCATATAAAACCCACTTTAGTGTAACTGGATCTTGTCTAACTAATGGACCGCCGCTATCACCCTATGAGAAAATATAGTATGTTGAAAGCGACATTAGTACATGCATGTGACGTCATAGCATTGTAAATATCACGATGAGCGCGAGTCAATTTGCTGATTTCTATAAATAATTTAATGACAAATCAAATAAACCGTTATCAACTTGGCACCGAGTCTGAATAATTGGTAAACGTTAAAACACTGAATATAGCTCGAAAACTCGAATAATTTTGTTGAGGGATTCAGTGGATTGTAAATAGAAAAGGATTATGCATCCAAACACTTCGGTCGTATTTATTTTTCACGCCACAGAAGCGCGTGGTCGCTAGAGGGCGATTCTTAACGGAAAGGCGTATTGAGGATGTGATAGTTTTAAAACTATTATACATGTACTAGTATTACCGAACATGTATCGTAATGACCATCGATATACCCAGCGCATAACATGTTTTCTGTCACCTCTCCCTCATGTATCGTATTGCAAATCGTGTTATCCACAAAAGGAAGCATCACTTGTTGTAGTGCTCTATTATCAGCCGTTCCTGTGGAGACAAAGAACACGTCGTGTTGGATGTGGGTCCCATGCGACATATAATATGCGTGTAAAATACGCAGTGTAGACGTATATGCTGATTCTCTCGGGGGCTCGACAATAACGACATTGTTGCCGGGAAAACCCTTGACAATAAGACTCACCCATAGAAGTACCCCATCCAGTAGCCCAAGCTTCGTCTCCATGTACATGCATTTCGCCCTGCTCTGGTAAACACACTTCACTGATCTCATCTGTCATTACAATTGTCTGTCGTATTTTCATTAGCGCAATGTCATTGTCAATGGTGATTGCGTTGTAGTCAGGATGCACAATGATTTCTTCGATTTCATACTCAACTTCTGAGGGCGCTGGATCTGTCAGGTTATGTGACCCAGCTCTAACGTTGAACATGTAAATTTGTTCCTCTGCTCTATAACCCAAAAAGGACAGAAACATGGGATGCTTCATTGGAATAGGACATACGTTCACGTGTGCGTGTAATCATACGTGAGTTCGCATGTCGGTGTGTGTGTATGTTTGATGTACATGTGCCCATTTGTTAATATTCCGATGTTAAAGCGGGGGAGTCGTTACCTGCGCATGCGTCAGATGGCCATAACGTGTCATTGTTTACAAACAAGCGTCTACCCATGAGCCTTTGCGTTTTTAGCGTGTGTTGTTATCGTCGCTTGGGACTCAAATTATAACAAACTTGTTATACAGAATATCTAATGTAGATTTGTT